TGTGTGATTTTGTCTTAATAAAAATTGGTTGCGGATGAGAAGTTGCTGGCGATTTTTTACTTCACAGCAGCATGGTGTGGACTTTGTAGGATTTTTTGTTTAAATTTATTTGAATAATTATCTCTGAATTTGTGATGTTATACACACATGTTTTTTTATCAATGTCTAGTTATATATGTAGAACATAATAATGAATGTTGCGGATCATTAGATGTTTGCATGCATCACATTTTAAGCCATTTTTATCAAATGTTTTGAGCAATTTATGCACTCTTGTATATGGATGGAATGTCACAAGGTTGTATATATCGAACCATAAGAAAAAAAGAAACATTTATTTTGAATAGTTCTTTCTATGTGGAAATAGATTTTGCTCAGGAGAATAGCAACAAAGTCTATGAGGTAACTTGTCTTACTTGCCTTACTTTGCGAGTTATTAAAATCATATGTATTTTTTGTCATATCCTATTCACATCTATTTCCCAAATATCCGATTAGTATTCATATCATATCCGTATCCGACTCTCTAATATCTGAACCATATCCGTTTCCGTTTAATGTGGATATGGTAATGTTTTTTTTCTTACCGATGAATATCCGAACCATATCCGTATCCGTTTTTAAAAAGTGGTTATGGTTATGGTAAGAGTCATATCCGAACCGTATCTGAACCAAATTGCATCAAGGGAGGTTCAAACTATATTGGACGAACCTACCCATTATTTCACAAACCCATAAAAACCAAGTAACAACAACTTATAATTAACGAAAAAAGTAAAAAATTGGGGGAAAAAAAGAAACTCACTAGGGGACGAACAAAAGGGCCTTGAAGTGAAAAGGAAAGGGATGGAGAAAAGAGAGGGTTTTGGGGGTGAGAGGGTTAGAGTGCGGCTGGAGAAGGGATTAGGGTTTTGGAGAGAAGGAGCATGGGGTTTCAGGGTTTGGGTTTGATTGAGGAGAGGGCACGGAGATGGCACTCGGAGGCGGCGAGACGCAGAGGCGGAGGGACGCGGGACGTGAAGGTGGAGTGGGACGCGGCGATGGAGCGGGACGTGGCGGCGGAGGTGGAGCAGGGAGGTCAGCGGCGGCTTGGAGGTGGACTGGTGGAGGCTGGGTGAGTGGGTGGGATTTGGAAAGATAAAAATTAGGGTTTGAAGTTATGGGTTTGAGTTGAATTTGGATCAGGTTGCGGATAACATGAGTATATGTTATAGACCCGACTCAATACAGACCCAATACAAGTATTATACATAGCACATTTCAAATATCCGGATATCCGAACCGTAACCGCAATTTCGACCAGATAACCGTATCCGGATAAAAAATCTAAACCGTAACCGTATCCGAAACCATATCCGACCGGTTTCAATTTTTCCCTACTATATTCACTTTCTAAACGAATACGGTTGCGTTCGGTCCGGATAAATCCGGACCATTTTGTACCCCTAGCCCCAGCACTTTGAGAAGAGGATTCCTCTTGAGAGCGTGAGGAATTACCTTGAGCTAGATCTGATGACCCTAGCATTATGCCCAAGAGATCAGATCTATAAGAGAGAGCACGAAGAAGGAGAGGCACACGATAGCAATAAGCGCTATCAAGCACCAAAAATCGCCCGATGAGGAGGAATTTAATTTGTTTCTTCACCTCCTGGGTTAATGAAAACTTAATTGTAGAGAAAGTATCCATTACAGTACTGGATCTGGTTCATGCTATAATTACGACACATGAAAGGAATATCAACTCCTTAGTCACTGGATTTCGACTGTTATACGCAGATCCAAATATTGATATCTTTTTTGTGTATCATTAAAGCCATAGACCTGATTCATTGGCGACTTTCTCTAATACAAAGTCTTCTCTTCATTACATGTATGTCTGTATAATATAAGAAATGTAGTTCACTATCCATAAGAAAATAGGGTTCTCTCGACAACGTGGTGAAATAATAGAACTTTTTTTATACAACAGATCGAGAGTCGATCACTTATTTCCACTGAAATTTTTATTAACATCTCAAAATGGAGTTATTGCGTTGTTATCTCCATATGTACTACATGATGTATATACGTTCAAAACTTGTAACACAAAATATATCCTCTTTTCACACCAGAAAAACATCAAGATATTTTCGTACAACACATTGTGTCACGTCCCTGAGACGCCCATAGCACTTGTACAAATAAGGGAAAAATAATTCGTTTGGATATCCGCAAATCTGAGTGTTGCTAAAAAAAGATTAAATGGGACAGATGACTAATTTACTCTATGTATAAAGATTAATGTAATAAATGAACAATCTACTATAATACGTAGAGAGTGTATCTACAGTTAACTTTTAAATTTTATGGAGGTTTCTCTTCTTTAAAACAGCTAGAATGGTGTGCTACTGTTATGTTATAGAGAGAGAAGTGGGAGGAAATTTGTTGTGTTATGCGATGAGATATCATTGCAAACAAACTGACTCCACGCTCTCTCACGATTGAGTATGTCCATTCTCTTCTTCCGATTTCTGTGCTTTTTTCGTCAAAAACCGCGTACATGTTTTCCTCCTTGTTTTTTTACACTACAGTAGGCTTTACTAAGCTGGAAGCAGCTGTGAGAGCTAATTAACCAGCTAATTAATCCAACTCAAAATGGCAAAATTACAATTTGTATTTGGGTTTTTCTAAGAGGTGACTGAGCTAGCACTCATTAAGGATGAGAGAGATAGAGAGCGAGGAGAGCTAAGCAGAGAATTAGTGCAAATTAGATGGAGCCCACTTGCTATTCATTTCTCTCCCATCTCCTAACAATTAAGTGCCCGTGGACACACATTAAAAAAACCGATCTCAAAGTGTATAACTGTAAATATAACTCACAACATACATTAATATGGGCATTGTGATATATTGTAAAAAATTGAAAAGAATCATAAGTTCATAACCTTTAGTATATATTAAGATTCTTCTAAATACCATGAACAATCATATTGTCATAAAATTTCTACTTTCAACATATTAGTATGTAGAAATATATCCGGATGGTATTTGAAAATCGCATGTGAATACTTTGTTTGATGTAACATTTATGATAAAATTAGTTGAGTTCCATCTTGTGAATTCCTTTGTCCTCTGATTTTAGGAGAGTTGCTTTGTAGAACTCATTTTAACATATCAATCACCATAACATTAAATGTTACTTAGAAATGTCAAATACATGCTGAGGACAATTCCTAAATATGAAACTTGGGAAATTGAGCTCCTTAAAAAATATAATATATGCATAACTTCATCTGACCTTAATATTCTTCCTAATCTTTGTTATAGTGAGGGTGGAGTTAAACTCCTATTCAACCTTTTTTTTTGTCTTATATTATACTAGTGTGCACCCGCGCAAAGCACGCCCCTCTATTTTTTTAAGCACTGCATTTTGAACTTCCATCCCTCTAAGTTTTAATACATTTAATTTAATTATTTTATGCTTAAAATTAGAAATTATATCTACTCATCTATACTTAAAGAATGATCCAAGTTTTAATACATTTGATTTAGAAATCATATCTACTCCTCCATACTTAAAGAATGATCCAAATTTTAATACATTTGATTTGCTTTACTTTTTACGATATAGTAAATACTGTAGTATAACTATAGTAATTTTTAGTATGGAGGAGCATATTTGATTTACTCTTTATGCTACAGTAGAATATTGTAGTATATACAATAACTTCGAGTGCAAAGAACCAGATTTGATTTACTGTTTATACTACAGTAATTCTTTGGATTCTCAGATCTCGCTATAGCAATTGCATATTTACAGTTGACCATACATTAATTGCTCCGGTTAAGAGATAGTCTAAGGATTCAAACTTGTTGACTTATCTTCCAGATATAAAAGCCTTTGAATTTTGTGGAGGATAATTACTTCCATGACCTATACTAATTTCACATAGCTGATTCTACCTTGTTGACCGAAATAAAGGGCGGAGAGAAAATTACATTTTCACCTAAACAAATAAAGTTCTTCCAAGGTACTTTTTCCCCGCCTTCTGAAATAAGTTTTTGGGTAAGTATCCGGCCCAACTGAACTGTAAGCATAGCCCATTTAATTGAATTAGGCCAACAGGTAGAGCCCACTGCTGAATAACCAAATACGGCTTAGTGCGTTCGCGTGGACTGGGCGGTCCACGCCCACATAGTAATGGCTCCTTAATCTGGGCTGTGCAGGCCTAGTTCAGAATTAGCCCAACAGTACAGGACCTATGCCTCTATGAATGCGATCAACAGACTTGACCTGGTCATCATGCATCACAAATACGTTGTGTAGATAATCAACGTAAAAAAAATGATTGGCGAATATGGGAATAATAGAGCAAGGAAGACTTGTATGTAGACTTCTAACTTTCTCTAAAATTCTTAAATTTTCGATCGCGAGATGTTTCCTATTTTTCGAATAAAAGAGCGAAAAAGAGCTACATGAGCATAACTGACGTAAGTTTTAGCATTTGCTTGAATATAGCAACAACAAAAACTCAACTTCAACAATTTGTTCAGGTTTGCATTATACAGTATAGAGGCTCGCAATCCAAAATTACAAATAGTGAACCGCAAAGATCTTTCATGGAAGCGCACGATGTTTATCGCCAGGAACGTTCAGGAATTGCGCAACTGAACTAATATGCAATCATGCAAGTTGCCAGAAATTTGCGTATCATGATCAGAATTCACGAAGAAAACTTACGATTTCAATCTTTTTCTGGCTAGTGCTTAAGTTTAGAATTAGACACGGATAACAACTTACTCTGATTTTGACCTGAAAAAATAACTGATTACTGACACAAAGTAGACCAGGCTTGGGCCGGTAAATATAAGCACATACAAGTGTGGGGGTGAAGCACCTGACAACAATTTAATGAATATTTTTGCTCTCACGCACAACTATTTGCCATCACCTTTTCGATGACTGATAGTAGCGTTTTTTGCACGAACAATTATTTTTAGTTATCCAAAAGCATGACAACTTACAATAAGCGCCGTCAGGAATGATAGTTTACTGAAAATAGTTCATATTAATTTTTTTTCTAATAAAAAATGTGGTACTTCTTAGCTAAATACCCCAGGATTCATGGTACCTTTGTTGAATTACTCAAAAAAGAATTAAGAAATAAATAAAAAAACTCTCATGTCTCTTTACAGTCCGCTTGATCTTCATAAATGGGAGTTATTTCTGGTGGCAACTTAATCTGAACTGATGCTGGTATCTATCATCTCATAGAAAAGTAAGCTTGCCTCTGCAGCAAGAACAGCTTCTTCAGAGACTGCTGATACTTCACGATCTGAAACATAAAACCATCGGCGAGATGCAGTTTCCGATGACCCCTCAGAATCCAGTCTTCTATAAACAGCATAGTGCCCACTTCCAGGCCTTCCATAGTGTTCAACAACAGAAGAAAGGCGATAAATACATTGTTTTGAAGAACTTGAACTATCAATGGCACTGCCCTGCACTTACGCGTGGAAAAACATACAGAAATCAATCGAGGTCAGGGGTTCAAAAAGCCTCGTTCATAGTGTGGTAAACATGCACACAGTACCAAAATTACTAGGTTAAGAGAAGAGCTAGTTGGCCTGAGCTAGGATATAATCATTATAACTCATCTAATAAAAAAAGCAAGTCAAAGTTATCAATGGTCGGTCATCTGGAGGTATATAGGATATTGGCTTTGAAATTAAAATACAACAGATCAGTTCATGAATAGTCATTGTTTAATTTGAAAATGTGAAGAAAGTAAAATTCTAAAAATAAAAATAGATCTTTTATGGAGTTAATAAGAATGGTTGAAGTTCAATATAAAGGTGCTGATTACAGGTAACAAGCATGAAATTTATCAAAAAATTTATTATGTGGAAGTCAAAGTTGTTCTGACCTTGTTATTTAGTCTGGTTTCACTGCAGGAGCCAGCTTGAGGCCCATGGAGATCAGAAGCAAATATCCTCTCGGCTTTCTTATGGCTGTCATTGTTCTCACTAGCAGTATCACTAGGAGAATGACTTAAAGCTTCAGTAGTTGAGTTCCTCAGCATTTCTCTTGCTAAAAATTCTGAAGAAAGTTTGTTGTTAACAATTCGATACATGTGCGAGAGCATATGAACCTCCTGTGGCATTTTCAAATGCAGCTGAGGCATCAATAAATTTGGCATTTGGTTCTCAAGTTTTTGTGCATAATCTTCTGAAGTTTCTTGTCCCGCATTAACCCTCATAAATGGGAAGAGATCCAAAAACAATGGGAAGGAAACATATCCCTGCAAATAAAATTTTTCTATTCTATAAATCTCACATGGAACATTATAACATTCTATTTACAAGTATGAGTCAAGAAATACTGCATTACCTGAAGCTTGATGAATTCACCATACACACTCATAGAAGCACGTTGCAGATGAATGCACAAAATCTGAGAATTTGACATTTAAGTTATTGAGTTTGCATTAAAATAAGGGTGTTCATTATAAAAGAAAGAGGAAGTGCAACTATTTACTTTTTATCCCATACCCTTGGACATCGAGCAACACTTAGTTGCTTTGAAGCACATGAAAACTGTGTCCATGTTATCTCTTCCTGAAGAAAAATCTCATTGCAACCACAAGAATCAAGGCTGACACAATTTTCAAGCTTTTTGATTTTTTCCTGAAAGACGATCGCAACTCAAAAGTGTCATGCCGGAAATTTCACTAATCCTGAATAACTCAGGATGGTAAAGGAGTTAAGTTGTTGGTCAACATTACAAATAAAAGATGCCTGGTTACCACCAGAACAATACCTCATCCTTTTCTTCTTTTCCCAATAAATATTTCAAAGCAGCAGTATGCCAACATCGACCACAACGATAATTTTCTACATGTTCTACTACAGTAAAATGCTTTAAACAATCAACCACAGTACAACCAGCCATCTAGGAACCAAAACAACGAGAAAAAAGCATAATCATTAAGAAAATAAATCTAAATGACATACAGAACTAAACTGAAAACGTCTTGAATGAACATACAATTTCCATTCCTCCATCCAGTACAGGTGAGAGAGGCAAGCAGCGGAAAAACTCAAAATCCATTGACACCTGTAAATGTGCAGAAAATGACAAAGGAATTACACATGACTATTCAGAAGACAGTATGCGACTGCATATAAAATATACACCAAATCAATTGCTATAATCGAAGGATTGTAAATAGAGATCCCAGTCCTGTCAAGAAGTATAATCATGCATAGCGCAAGCCTACCTGGTACAACATGTTCTATGAAGGGAAATAAAAGAAACGTGACCAATTATCTAATGTGTTTTGCACATCAATACACTATATTATACGCATGTAAATAGACAGAAAATATCCAACATCTACCAGATGAAAGTACATGAAGAGGCATTTACCATAGATGAACAAGTTTTACATGTTAAAGAGCTTCCAATAGTTCCATCAAATGGACCCAAAAAATTTTGCTTCCATCGTTCACATTCATTCTGCCCTTCTCTGTTTGGCTTATAAATCTTAGAGGGAAAAGCAATGATGTCCGCCAGAGAAATGTCATGCATCACGTAAAACTCTAAAATTTCCTCTTCTAATGCAGATAGAAGATGAAGAAATGCTTCTGCAGCATCCTACAATGAAAATAGCAGTTGTATCAGGCCTCTGCCATTGTTGAGAGAAAACCATTAAAAAGTATGAGCTGAAGTAGCAATACCTGTTGTCTTGTTAAATTGAAGCTGCTGGCATATGAGCTCATTGCCAGCATCACTCTTCTTGGGTTCAGTACAGTTTTTTCATCTCGGGCAATGCTCAAGTCTTATATTGTGCAGCCAGAAAAGTAAAGAAAAGGTTAAAAGGAAGATTAAAATATAGCTATTTTTAGTTCTAATATTAATTCATACACAGCAGAAACAGTCGACTGGAAGGTATGAAATCCGAAAGTGATTATTGAAAATCTGGGGGGAAAGAAGTTATAATTGTATTGAAGAGGATGGCAAGATTATTGACACAAAATGCTGCAAGTAAAGAAAATGGGATATCGAATATTCAAATTCAGTACAATCTTTGATCAGGCTTCTAGTCACAGATTTTTTGTTTTCTTTTCTTTTTCTTTTAACTACTATGTCAACTATTGTTTCCATCTAGTTACTGGTTACCTAGAAGAGACAATAATGTTTCTCTTGATAATTTATTTTCTTGTCCCTTAAAATCATGATCTTCACCCTTTCTTCCAGTGAACTTCTCTTTTAAGAAACTACAATTTTAGCCACCTAGGTAATCCCAGTTCACTTCTACTAGAATTCTAGTAAACTCCTTGATTTCTGTACAAGCTTACCTATTGTTATGATGAACATGATACTGCCATGACCATCTCAGTTTTAGAAGATAAATTTCATGTCCCGTCAGTACTGAGAATTGATTTCCCGATAGGCATTTGACGAAGTTACTTTTGAGCCAATTATTTATTTGGTTTAGACCCCTGAAGAAATAGGTCAAGTCTCTCATAAATGAGCTTCAACCAAACGACAAAATGGAGACAGGTTTTAATGCAAATATTCTAGTCAAAGTTTGAAGTTATGGAGCAAATGTACCTTCTAAAATAATATTTATATAATATTATTTTACTGTTTTATAATATTATTATTTTAATATTATAAAAATATTATATATTATAATATTTATTATTTTAATATTATTATAATGTTATATGATATTATATTAATATTTATAATATTTTTATAATTTATAATATATTACTTTTTTAATATTATTAATATTTTAATAATATATTATAAATAAATATTATATTTATGAGCATAGATAACAGAAAGTATTATTATACGTTGATCCATGACTTTCATGATTCTTATCTGACTCAATTCCAATACCGGTTAGAAAATTCTAATTAGATGTAATATACTTATATGTATATATATATATAAGCATATATATATATACTACTATAGAGTTAGGATTAATTGAGTATCCTTGCCAAGTAGAAGATATTTCCTCTTGTCCGCCTACTGTGGCCACAGATCCCCACACCAGCTCTTCACCACATACCTATAAAATAGCCACAATGCCCCACCAACTCAACACCTTCTCTCTCTACTTTATGAGGATGGTGAGGATTGTGCCCCACATTAGGGTCAATGGAGGAAAATCCCCTTCTATGACAATGATACTCATTATATTATATATATATATAATATATATATATATAATATATACTATATATATATATAATATATTACCTAGTTATGGAGAAATATGGGTATTGCTTGGTACCCAAACATAAATTTTATCTTGGTAGTAATGTGTCACATCCTCATCCACTCATTACCCATGTGAATATGGTCTATATATTTGAGATGAGTAGGAGGAAGATGTGACACTCTCACTACCAGCACAACTTTTTTATGCTTGGGTACAAGCATTTCCATATTTCTCTCTTCTTCTCTCTTCTCTCGTCGTCTCCTTATTAATATTATACCTATACTATATACTTATAATATATTGTCATAATAATAATACTAATCATATATATAATCATGCAAATATGAAAAATAAAAAACATTGAAACTATATAGATTTATTTTTTGCGTTATAATATAAAATATAAAAATAAAATTATATATGTATAATTATTATTATAACATATATAATTATAAAAATTATTTTTATATTCTATTATTATATTATATTTTATAATAATTATATTATAAATAAATATAATAAATTCTCTACCTCAAAAAAAAGGCTCTTAATAGATTTCCAGTTCCAGAACTTAGTTATTAACCAAATATAAGCTATTTCGATGACGCGAAAAGGTGGCAAGGATCTACTTTTCGTATCCATCATATACAACGAACGATTAGTACCAGAAATAATCATGATTATTTAAAGAATCACAGACCCTTTTGATTTGAAAGGGCCACTGTTTTTGAAATAGAACAATACAATAACAATACATAATATATTATATAGACGGAATTTTTTTTGATCCAACCTGTAGGAATCAATAGAAAAGGGAAAGCCCATATGATACACCAGATCTGGCTCGGTTATTGATAGAGTGAATAGATCTGACATTTCTTAAAATCTCTCTTCTGATTCAAAATCGTGGTGTAACGTGTAACCCCCTTTGTTTCGATCATGGAATAGATGAATAAATCCATTTTAAATTATATAAATATTATAAATAATAATATAATATTATAATAATATAATATTTAAATAATAAATATTATAATATATAATATTTTATAATAATAAAATAATATTTTATAAAGAATAGGAAAGACGATTTTACTATATTTCTAACCTGGAACGGGACCTATCACACGAAAATTTCCTTTATTGGGACGATAATTCTGAAAAGACAGATTTCCTACCTTTTCTTTCACCTAGGGAGAAATACGATCCGCGAGGGGGGGGGGCTATTTTCGGCGCCTTTGAAACGTTGAAAGTATCTAACCTCCAGGGGGCAAAAACACACACACACACATAACAAACATGCAAAAGCATAATTCATTGATTCAAGGTGGCAGTTATTACATTTTGCAGTAGAGCAAAATTAGCTGTATTCAGGCATTAGGTCAAACGAAACATGCAATGGGTTATACCTTTCTCATCAACCTCACATACAAGTTTATCGGTCAAAGCAAATCATAACTTTGGCATATCAAACAAAGGCAGAAAATTTATGGGCGTCATCGAACAAAGCTTACCTTTCAATAATGAATTCAATACAGCTGTAAGAGGCATATTTTCTTTATTTTCCCCAACCAGCAAATCATCAGAGAGTAATATATTCTGTACAAACGAAAGGAAATGACGAGAGCTAGCAAGTGCCTGCTAAAACATTGCACTTGAGTCAGCAAGATCTAGCGAAACACAACCCAAAAGAAGATTATGTTAAGCAGGTTAATGATTTAAACATGCACACAGTAAAAGGAAAAAGGCATATAAACATTTCCTAGAGTAGCAATGCCAAGTATTGCTGTAAGTTTAATTAGCAGCAAGGTGACAGCATTTTCTCCATGGGTACTAGTACAACAGAAACTATAATGTAGGAGTTAGTGGGTGAATGAATGTGGCTTCGTTTACAGCAGTTCATAATGTCAGCAATTTCACTGCATCCTTTTGAAGCTCTACGCGAAACATTGGTGATTTTAACTGTTCCATCTAGAATCCTCAAAACTGTGTATAAGAAGCTCTGAAGAAGAGACGAGGAGGAAATGGCCAAGTTTGTGTTCCGGTGACTGTATCAGTACAACTTTCCATGTTCAAATATGTGTAATGCCTATACCTGCGATATATTAGCGCTCCAACAGGACGACAGAGCCAACAGTTCCGAAGGGTCAGCAGACAAGTAATAACCCAACAGGGATTTGGTGGTTTAAGCTCCCAGATATCTGGAAGCTATTAACAATATTTAACATTATAAGCAACTTATCTGAGAACTCCAACATATTGTTCAACAAATCATGAATTGTCATAATGCTAGTTATAGAAAATTCCCTACAATGTCATGGCTGGTATATGATCACATAATACTTCCTGAAGCATTCCACTATCTTAAATATCCCTCTCGTTCTATTTAAGTAGCAAAAATAATCACTTTAAGATATGACTTATTGACAAATGTGCACTCCACACCTTGTATACTGTATAGGTTCAAAAGTTACATTTTGTCCTATTAATTCTAAAAATTTTAGATTCTAAAACTTCTCTTCAACATTTTCAAATTATTCTTTTTGGAGTCTCACCAACTAAGACAATGTCATCAAAGCAATGTGGAGTACAATATTTTATCTCTCCATAGTAAATTCTGTGGTACCTCAGGCAAAGAGTTAAGGACTTAATTGTTACATATGGATTAAATTCAAACACGTGATAGTTTTGTATCTACTCGAATTGTCCTCATGGTATTATTGTTGCATCGCATGTATCCTCATTCATGTCACTATAACTGCTAAGCACTTATTTCTTTTTTAAAAGCACAGTAACTATATTCTAAAGTTAGTCCCTTATCCACATTAACTTAAACATGACATTCTTCTGGGAGAACTTCCAACTTAAACATGGTAACTTCTCTCAGAAGTAGGAAAACAGCTTATGCAGTAACTCCAAACATGAATTTGATAGATTATATAAATACAGAGAATTGGAGACGTCCATAGATATTAAGTTTAAGTTATGTTACAAATTATATGTGTACGAATAAAATAATCATAAACGATTGAATTTTATCGCTAACTGGAAGTACCTGTAAAATCACATTCAGAAAACAATTATTTCCAAGGTTTTGCAATCCAGCCACGGTATAAGAATCCTTCTGTTCATGTATGAATGGTATAGAAATTATTTTACCATCCCATAACGAGATGTATAAACCAGCCACTCCCACTCCAGCACCCAAGATAACAGCCAAAAGATTGTGGACTTGAGAAGAAAACAATCCCTTCTGCCCACAAAAATTTGCAGATGCATGCTTTAGCTTATGGATAAGATGTCTGATGCTCACATCTTGCTTATACCTCATTGCAGAACCAAAAAGTTTATTTCAATGAGGAGTTGGTTCTCAACCAAGACCCATGATCACTTTAAGCTGCAAGAAGATAAAGATATTGACGTTACCTAACAAAAAGTTTTTCACCGTAGACAAGTCATAAATGTTTGGTTGCTAATGTACAAATAAAGCATCCTTTTCTAACAAAATGAGTTGTATTTCAAGTTTCAACTAGAAACCTTGAACAGACATATTAAGCACCATGTTTTATACCATCATTCTTCGAACCAAAATTTGAAGTATTAGCCGTTATGTCATATTATATTTAGTTTTTAAGCATGTTGATCCCGATATAAGAAAATAACGACTAACAAGGAGACTAAGCTTTACCTATTCCAGCAATGACAAGTCCAACTTGAAACTATTGAGATTTGAGATCATGTAACTCCCTAACACTTATACAAACAAAGGAGAACCCAAAATGCAACCAATATTGAGATTTCAAACCTTGATTCTAATGCTCAACTGACGGCCAAATGATGTACGCTTTTAAAAAAAATTGTCTCAGTTCACAATATGCTTCTTATACTAAGATTTCAATAACCTCGTTTCTTTTTAGCGTCAATCACGTCCTAAATTAATCAAAAGATGCAACCTTTAAGACAAGTTGATAGCATACAACTACAAACGTAAACAAATTAAAGCTTAAACCTAAGTCCAAAATTTGATGAGACGATCCAAGAAAACCACAGAATTGAAAGCAGACCAACTGAACGCACCAGATTAGAGCGATTGAGGGATGAAACCCTAGCCTTCTCCTTAGAGATTGAATTTGAGATCGAAAACCCTACAAATTGAGAAGGGAACAGTAAAAAGACGAAACTTTTTTGCTTCTTTTCTCTTCGCAGCACCCTTCGAGCTTTGCCGCACTGTTTTCGGCTTCGGTGTTCATTAATTTCGAGCGCAGGGAATTGAGACGGATTATTCGGGGAAGTAACCGGTCGGTTGGATGTTAAATGTTGTCGGATACTAACCCGTCAAGGATCCATTTTGCCCATTTCATCTTTGGACGAAAACTAACGAGTAGTTGCAGACGCAAGTTTGTTGCATTCGCATGCAAGGGTGCGTTTAGTTAGAGAAAATCGGAACAATAAATATTAATGGTGTGTTTGCTTGGGTGAAGTAGAAATAATAAATGATTTTACCATACCATGTTGTTTCAATGTATGGTGTTGGAACTCTTGAAATTGATGGTGGTTCCAACACTCATATTTTTCTTTTGCTAAGTTTATTATTGTAATAACTTTTTAGTGTTGGAATAACATCTAACGAAATAAGACCTTCGGATTTTTGATATAGTCGGAACAACATGGGGTTCCAACTACACCAAACCAAACGCACCTTTAGTGGTGTTCTAAGTTCTAACTAATGGTGTTGCAACACTCTTAAATTTGAGTGTTGTTCCAATACATCTGTTTTAGATATAGTTAGAACAGCATAATGTTCCAACTACTCCTAACCAAACGCAACTGTAGTTGTAACTCAAATGTTAGCGGATGGAACACCCTCATTTTTAGCATATATGGGTAGTGCAGCAATATTTTTGTATTGCAACTAATCCAATTATGTAGCTAGGACAACATAGAGTTCCAACTACATCAATTCAAATGCACAAATGATGTTACAACTACATTTATACTTCCAACACCCTCTAACCAAACACACCTAATGCAACTACATTTGTTATTGCAACACAATCTAACCAACACACCCAACAGAATCAACATATATTACTATAATTAGAAAGTAACTCTACTATTCTTTTATTTTATGTTTTGCACTTGAAAAGTGAATGTAAAGTAAATTAAAGGAGAATTTTTTTGAAATAGACCCTTTCACAAATTTATTCACAAAACGGACCTAGTTCAAATCTATTTATTAAAATTGACCTAGTTTTAATCATGTCAGCACTATATGCGACCTGATTGATTTTGAAAACATTATTTTTAAGAATCTACTGATTGATAATTCCGTAGAGATTAAATGATAATTAACACCTACGGGATTCCCATATAGCTTAACTCTTAGGCCCCGTTTGGTATACGGGAATGGGGTGGAATGGAATGTCATTCTCACTTCTCATTCCCTCATACCAAACAAAACTAGTTTTTAGATGTTGGAATGACCATTCTCATGGAATAGCCATTCCCACTTTTTGTGGGAATGGGCATTCCAAGTGAGAAGATAGGGAATGATCATTCCCATTCAAGGGGAGAATCAAATTAGTTAGTTTTTTTTTATAATTTTACCCCTATTAATAATAAGAATCAATTTAAAAATCATGGCTTTTGACTACGTATTCTCATTTTCTCTCTGTTTTTAGGCTCCACCGAAACAAAAAGGCCTCCTTTCTATTGCATTTTTATTTAATTTTTTAAGACTAAGAAATAGTGAGAATTGTTTAAAATATATAAACGAAACATACACTTGATCGATAATATGCGCATTAGTATAACACATACTTAGATTAATATAACATATGCATAAATAAATTTTTTTAGTTATTATCATTAATGTTTATTTTTATCTTATTAAAAATCTATGTTGTTATAATGACATTATTATAAAATAAGATTCCATTCTCAATTGTGAACTAGTGATACCAAACATGGGAATGAGAATTAGATTTTCATTCTAGCTTCATTCTACAAACGCACCCAAACAAGAGAAAGAGAATGATCATTCCATTCTCACATACATTCCATTCCATTCCTTCTTCCATTCCATTCTCACTTGACTTCATTCCCACGTACCAAACGAAGCGTTACTTAAACTCTAGGGAATTGTCAATCCCTTGGACCTTGCTTCTTAATTAAAATCCATCAGATAGGCAGTCCTTTGGGATCTTTTTTGTTCAATTAAAGTCCACCTGACTTGCGATCGTGTGTTTTTTATAGAGGTATTTTCAAAGTATAGTAAAAAACTCATGTATTGCCAATCTCCTGCAATTTAATTGACAAACAAATTGAATGGATTGACAATCTCTTAGACCTTGTTTGGTAAAGTGTTAAGGATAAGGGATTAAGAAGATGTGTTAGGATAGTTAGTTGTTAATCCAAATGATTAAACTTTTTAATCCGTTAGCATAGTTTATTTTAATCCTTGTGGTCATCTTCTATATATATGTGTGAATAAAAAGGATTATGACCATTTTTTAAATAAATGAAGATGTTATTTCCCAATCTGTTTAAATAAGTAGATTTGTAAACTCCTTGTTTTGAGGGATTATTAACTCATTTTAACCCAAGGGATTTGTAAACCATATTTCTTATATTTGGAAAATTACGAGGGGTTAACTGCATTACGTCATGTGTAAAATATTTTATATTTGGTAGGCTAAGGAAGGGTTAATTCTCCTTAACCCCTCGCTTAACCCTTTGTTAAATGGCGCCTTGGAGTTTAAGTATAATCTCGTGGTTTTTAATTATCACCTAATCTCTATAGGATCTCCAATCCTGTGGAGATCGAAAACTTTTTTTTCCTTTAAATTTGACCTACTTTCAGCTATGTCTTAATGTGTCATTTAGACATAGCTGAAAGTATGCCGATTTGATAACTATTTTTTACACTAGGGGAATTTTGATAAATAAATTTGTGATAGGGTCTATTTCAGATTTCTCCTAGTAAAGAGTGTTGGGTAAGCTTTTTAGCCTCTATCACCTTACAACAACAAGAAAATCTATACTACTATATGAAAAATTAATGAGGGGTAGTGTAAATTGGCTTAAGTGGTAAACATATTCTCCTTTTTCAATTGTTTGAAAAAGATAAAATTGTAATTTTACAATGAATAAATTTTCCCTCTTTTTTATTCTCTTTCTTTCTAAAATATTCTATATGAGTTTTCTTTTATTTTGCTATGGATAATTGTTTCCTTTTTCCCATTCTCTTCATTTCTAGAACATTCTGTCACTCAATGATATATAAAAATAAAAATTAGAACCCACTAATTGAATATCTTTTTTCCCTAAAAGGTTAAACTATACAAATTAGGAGAACGAATATGTATAAAGAAAAAAATCCAGTCTAAGCATATATTTATATCATAATTTATTTATACTAATATCTATACTACTTTATGAAAAAAATACTATAAGAGCAAATGAATATGAAGGAATCACGAAAAGAAATCATCTTTCCAAGGGTATGATTGATAAGTGATAACTCATTAAAAATGGGCCAAGATTGGTCTTGGATCTTGTTTTGAATAGAACAAGTTCAGTTGTGGCTCTGTTTTAATGAGT